CCTTGCTGTAAGAATAGCTATCAAAAAGGTAAGAGATAACAAGTATTAGCCATGATGAGGAGAAAAGGGAACTCCTGGGCACTCCTGGTGGGAATGTAAAATGGTGCAGCCACTGTGGAGAACGGTTACAGAGGTTCCTCAAAAAATAATAATAGATATGCTGAGCGAAATAAGTCAATCAGAGAAAGACATGTATCATATGACCTCACTGATATGAGGAATTCTTAATCTCAGGAAACAAACTGAGGGTTGCTGGAGTGGTGGGGGGTGGGAAGGATGGGGTGTCTGGGTGATAGACATTGGGGAAGGTGTGTGCTATGGTAAGCGCTGTGAATTGTGCAAGACTGTTTAATCATAGACCTGTACCTCTGAAACAAATAATACATTATATGTTAAAAAAGAAGAAGAAGAAGAAGAAGATAGCAGGAAGGGAAAAATGAAGCGGGGGAAATCGGAGGGGGAGACGAACCAAGAGAGACTATGGACTCTGAGAAACAAACTGAGCGTTCTAGAGAGGAGAGGGGGGTGGGGGGATGGGTTAGCCTGGTGATGGGTATTAAAGAGGGCACGTACTGCATGGAGCACTGGGTGTTGCGCGCAAACAATGAATCATGGAACACTACATCAAAAACTAATGATGTAATGTATGGTGATTAACAGAACATAATAATAATAATAATAGAACTACCATATAATCCAATAATCTCATTTCTGGGTATATATCTGAAGGAAACGAAATCACTGTCTCAAAGAGCTGTCTGCACCCCATGTTCATTGCAGCATAATACACAATTGCCAAGACACAGAAACAGCCTATGTCTACGTTAACCGATGGATGGATAAAGAAAATGTACACACACTCACACACCTTGAGGGCATTATGCTAGATGAAATATATCAGACAGAGAAAAACAAATACTGTACGATCTCACACGTAGAATCTAAAAAAGCTGAACTCAGAAACGCACAGTAGAATGGTGGTTGCCAGGGACTGGAAAGTGGGGGGAAATGGGGAGATGTAGGACAGAGTATAAATTTCCACTTACAGGATGAATAAATTCTAGGCATCTTTTGTACAGCATGGTGACTATTGTTTACTATTCTATATATTTGAAAGTTGCTAAGAGAGTACATCTTAAATGTTCTCATCAGCCTCCAAAAAAGGTAATTATGTGAAATGATGGAGGTGTTCACTAACGTTATTATGGTAATCATTTTGCAACATGTATGTGCATTAAATAAATCATCATATTGTACATCTTAAACTTAGAGAGAATGTTATATGTAATTGAGATATCTCAGTAAAGCTGGAGAAAAAAGTAATGTTCATCCACAGATCCTTTTTAAAAGAAACCAACCCATCCATCTCATTAAGAGCTGTAATTCCAATACAATTTTGACTTTTTGTTTACCAATTATTTATATAAACTTATACTTGTTTTGATTGACTACTAATAATAAGTTTTTTAAATATTTATTTATTTATTTGAGACTGAGCATGAGCAGGGAGGGGCAGAGGGAAAGGGAGAGAGAAACTCAAGCCAACTCCGAGCTGAGTGTGGAGCCTGACTCGGGGCTGGATCTCATGACTCTGAGATCATGACCTGAGTGGAAACCAAGAGTTGGATGCTTAACTGACTGTGCCACCCAAGTGCCCTGCCTGCTAATAATAATTTTAATGATAAATCAATCTGGAAGAAAAGTTTAAGAAGAACGTTTTTGTTACAGGAAGTAAAACAGATTTAAAATTTCAACATATATACATATTTTTACTGTAGAGAATTATTACAAGTTGATAAAAGTGATACAAAGTGATAAAAGACTTTAATGCATAAAATAGATTGCCTTAGAATATCATTCTGTGGAATTAGAAAACTTAGAATAAATGGATAAATTCCTAGAAATATATAAATTACCAAAACTGAAACAGGAAGAAATAGAAAATTTGAGGAGACCCCTATAACCAGCAAAGAAATTGAATCAGTACTAAAAAAACTCCCAACAAACAAAACTCCAATGATGTGGGAAACAAAGGCAAAAGAAAAATTAAATTTCCTTACTATTTATAGCCCATCCACAACACCTTTAGAGAGGCAGAGTGACCGGGGCGCCTGGGTGGCTGAGTTGTTAAGCATCTGCCTTCGGCTCAGGTCATGATCCCAGGGTCCTGGGATGGAGCCCCGCATCAGGCTCTCTGCTCAGCGGGGAGCCTGCTTCTCCCTCTCCCACTCCCCCTGCTTGTATTCCCTCTCTCACTGTTTCTCTCTGTCAAATGAATAAAATTAAAAAAAAAAAAAAAGAGGCAGAGTGACCTTCATCTAGGAATTCACCTGCCTCGAGGTTAGTACTTTGTTAAGGGCAATTGGCAATCTTAGCCCAACCGCCAGGATCCTGTAAGTCTACTTTAACCTATAAAAGTTCCTTTGGGGGGCACCTGGGTGGTGCAGTTGGTTAAGCATCCAACTCTTGGGTTCCGCTCAGGTCATGATCTCATGATCCTAAGATCGCGCCCTGAGTAGGGCTCTGTGCTCAGCCATGGAGTATGCTTGAGATTCTCCCTCTCCCTCTGCCCCTCCTGCTCCTGCTCCCTCTCTCTCTCTAAGAGTATTTGTATTTTTTTAAAAAGATTTTATTTATTTATTCAGGAGAGATAGAGAGGCAGACGCAGAATGAGAAGCAGGACCCTGAGCTGAAGGCAGACACTTAACCGATTGAGCCACCCAGGCACCCCCTCTTTTTTTTTTTTTAAGATTTTATTTGAGAGAGAGCGAGAGCAAGAGCTAGAGCGCATCAGCAGGGGGAGAGGCAGGCAGAGGGAATAGCGGACTCCCCACTGAGCAGGGAGCCCGATGTGGGACTCGATCCCAGGACCCTGGCATCATGACCTGAGCCAAAGGCAGAGCGTTAACCGACTGAACCACCCAGGCATCCTGAATTCTACGAAACATTTAAAGAAGAGTTAATACCTATTCTTCTCAAACTATTCCAAAACATAGAAAAGGAAGAACATAGTTCTCTGGAGAAAGTGAAATAGAAATGCAAATTCAAGAAGATGAAAGAATGAGAAAATTTCCAATGTAAATGAAGAACTCCTTCATGTATTTTTACCCCTAGGGCTATTTCCACCCCTACCCCCTTTCTGGTAACCACTGCATGTTTTTGCATGAAACTTTTAGGAATTGTCCAAGAAAAAGTTTGAAGACCACTGGTTAATCCACTCTTTCAAGAAACTTGGATGTCTAATAGAGAAGGAGAGGTGGCTAGAGGGGTGCTTCTATTAAAGGAGATTTTATTTTTTAAGATGGAAAACTTAAGCATGTGTCTTTGGTATTGTGCCTATATTTCAGAAAAGAGAGGCATGGCGAAACAGTTTACCACCAATGAGGAGACTTCGGAACAAAATCCAGGTAATACATCAGGATAGGCTAAGTTATGCTGATGCCACAGCACTCACTAAACTTCCATAAGCTTAACATATCTCAAGTTTATTTTTCTCTTTTACTACATGTTCTAATGTGGGTCCACAGGGGGTCTGCTCATCTTCGCCACTCAGAAACCCAGGCCACCAGATGATGGCTTCAACTCCATAGTCAGGGCATTTGGCAGAAAGGGATACAATGACTTACTAGCTTTTTAAGCTGGTGGAAAGGTAACAAGTATTCTGCGTGTTTCAAGTGGGTCAGAGAAGCGCCAATCCCACCAGGTGCTGGAAAGAGCTGGAAACTTCAAAGAGTAGCCTAACAGGTAGTTCTATTGAACACTACTTGTCATTTCCAGTATTGGAAATAGCCACAAATTTGTGTTATCCAGTACCTACTTCGGGGCCAGGCAAGATGGGGTGAAATGAAATATGAGATATCGTTCGTTCATTTCAACAGATCACAGAGATGGGGGGGTCTCTGGTCTCTGCCACTTAGTTACTGCCGTGTAAACCCAAAAGTTCCCTTGCCTCTTTGGGGCTTCGGGGAGGATGTGATGCTCTTCCAGCTCCAACGTTTTCATGCTGTAATGAGCTTGGGACTGGAATAAGAGGAGAGGAGGAAGCGAGCGAGCCCAAGGCGCGCTACCTCAAGAAAACAGACTTTCTGGGGCACCTGGGTGGCTCAGTCGGTTAAGCATCTGCCTTCGGCTTGGGTGGTGATCCGAGGGATCGAGCCCCGTGTCGGGCTCCCTGCTCAGTGGGGTGCCTGCTTCTCCCTCTCTCTCTGCCTGCCGCTCTGCCTACTTGTGTTCTCTCTAATAAATAAATAAAATCTTAAGAAAAAAAGAAAACAGACTTTCTAATATTTTGTCCGGATGCCTGTTGGGTAACGTGCTTTCAGCCAGCAGAGAGCAGTAAGTAGACGGTGGCACAGTTCTGCGTTGTAATAGCGGTTTGAAAAGTCTAGGGGTCGCTCAACTTTGACTGCGCGTTAGCATCATCCCCGGGAGGTTTTTTAAGAATCCCGGCGCCGGGCTCCACCCCAGACGATGAAATCAGATTCTCTGGGAGTGAAGCCCCAGCATCGGTATTTTTAAAGAGTTATGTGCACCGGGTATTCTTTAATCCTTTACTACTTGTTGGAGTGGCTGGATGACATCTGGTGGGCGCATTCTCATAAAAAAGTTCTTGAACCGAACCCTCTCTTCTTCTCTTCAAGGACTGTCGGGGTTGCGTTTTAACGGGCCAGGGTGTGTGCGGTGGTGGGGGGGTCGGGGGGGAGGCATCAAGCTAAAGGGTCTTTGGGACATCAGCAGGTTCCTAGCGTTTGGGGGCGAGCTGATCTCCCCGCGCAGGAGGCTGTGACTCCCGCCACCTCTGACCTAGGGCGCCCCGCGCCGGGCGGGGGAGGCTCAAAGGCCGCTTTTGGCTGGACAGGAGACCGGAAAAAAAAGGGTGGGCCGAGGCGGGGAGAGGAAGGCCGGGGGAGGAGCCGGAGGAGACGTCGCCGCGAGCGGGCGGTCCCCGACGAGGCCCTGACTTCCGCGCCCCGGCGTCCCGCGGGGGTGGCCTGGTCACCATGGCGGGCCTGGATCCCGGCCCGGCCATCCCCGTGTGGCTGGTCGAGGACGACCTGGGCTGCATCATCTGTCAGGGGCTGCTCGCCACGCCCGCTACGCTACCCTGCGGCCACAGCTTCTGCCGCGACTGCCTGAAGGGCCTGTGGGCCGCGGGTAGCGCCAGACCCCCGCGCTCCTGCCCCACCTGCCGGGAGAGCGCCCCGTCGCCGCTGCAGCTGCGGAAGAACACGCTGCTGCAGGAGCTGGTGGACAAGTACAGCCGCGCGCTGCGCGAGGTGACGGACGGCCCCGGCCCCGCCCCGCCCCGCCCCGCCCGCGCCCCCGCGTCGCGCAGCCCCGCAGCCGGTAGGGAGGGGGACCGGCTCTTCCCCGGGTCCGGCCCGGCCCTTCCCCGGGTCCGGCCCGGCCTGTCTGCTGTCGCAGGGCTGCTCTCACTCTGAGCACTCCCGCTTCTAAGTATGAAGAAGTTGCGGGGGGACCCCCAGTCTCCTGACATCCAATCAGCCTGGCTGCTCTAGCTACTTCTTGGCACATTTTCACTTCTTTCCAGTCTTTCCGCTGTCTCTTTGAACATTCTTACGTTGGGGTAAGATACAGCATAAAATTAGTCATTTCAGCCGTTTTTTATGTGTACAATTTAGTGGCATTATATTCTCAGTGATGTGCAGCTATCACCAGTTTCTGTTGCCACAAGGTCATCACCACAGAGACTCTGCACCCCTTAAAAGCAATAACTTCTCATTCCAGCTCCCTTCGTCCCCTGGTAACCTCCAATCTGTTTTCTGTCTCCATGATTTGCCTCCTCTAGATATTTCATATAAGTGGAATCATATAATATTTGTCCCTTTGTGTCTGGCTTCTTCCACTTACCGTGTTTCCAGGGTTCATTCATGTTGTAGCATGCACCTGAATTCTATTTCTTATGGTGGCTGAATAATATTCCGTTGTATGGATGTACCACATTTTGTTTATCTGTTCATACACTGATGGACCATTCGGATGGTTTCCACCTTCTGGTGACTGTGAGTAGCGATGCAGGAACATTGGTGTGCACGTAATCAAGTACTTATTTTCAGTTCTTTTGGGTAAATACTTAGGCGTGGACTCACTGAGTGATATGGGAGTTCTATGTTCAACTTATTGAGGAACACAGCCAAACCATTTTTCACAACAGCTACAACATTTTACATTTCCACCAGCAAAGTAGGAGTTGCCGATTTTTCCACATCCTTGCCAATACTTGTTATTTTTCATTTTATTTTGATTCCTCCCTCCTGCCACTTTTATAGGATAGCTTTTCCATTAGGAGTGAAGTGCTTTCTCACTGCGGTTTTGGTCTGCATTTCCCTGAGATTGATGATATTGACTGACCATCTTTTCATGTGCTTATTGCTCATTTATATATTTTCATTGGAGAAATGTTTATTCAGGTCCTTTGACTGTTTTTAAAAATTAGGTTGTCTTTTTTTTGTTGAATTTTTTTTTTTTTTTTATTTCAGGGGCGCCTGGGTGGCTCAGTCGTTGGGCATCTGCCTTTGGCTCAGGTCATGGTCCCAGGGTCCTGGGATCGAGCCCCGCATCAGGCTCCCCGCTCAGCGGGAAATCTGCTTCTCCCTCTCCCACTCCCCCTGCTTGTGTTCCCTCTCTCGCTGTGTCTCTTTCTGTCAAATAAGTAAATAAAATCTTAAAAAAAAAAAGATTTTATTTATTTCAGAGAGAGACAGAGAATGAGTAAGAGGAGGGGCAGAGGGAGAAGCAGACTCCCTGCAGAGCAGGGACCCCCCCCCCATGTGGGCCTGGATCCCAGGACGCTGGGATCACGACCTGAGCTGAAGACAGACCCTTAACCGACTGAGCCACCCAGGCGCCCTTTCTTGTTGAGTTTTAGGAAATCTTTATAAATTCTGGATATTAAACCCTTATCAGATATATGACTTAGAAATATATTCCCCCATCTTATGGGTTGTTTTTTACTTTCTTGATGGTGTCCTTTGATGCATAAAAGTTTTAAGTTCTGCTGATGTCCAATTTATCTATTTCTTCTTTTATTGCTCTTGCTTCTGGCATCATATCTAAATCCATTGCCGAATTCTGAGTTCATGAAGATTTACCCCCATATTTTCTCCTAAGAGTTTAATGGTAATAGGTCTTATATTTAGGTTGCTGATCCATTTTGAGTTAATGTTTCTATATGGCATGAGGTAGGGGTCCAACTTTATTCTTTTGCATGTGGAAATTTAGCTGTCCCAGCGCTGTTTGTTGAAGAGACTGTTTTCTACACTGAGTGGATTTGGCACCGTTATAAAAAATCAGTTGGCCATAGATGAATGGGTTTATTTCTGGACTCCTAATTCTATCCCATTGTTTTTTTGGTCTGTCCTTATGTCAGTACCACATTGTTGTGATTACTGTAGCTTCGTAGTAAATTTTGAAATCAGAAAGTGTGAGTCCGTCTGACTGTGTTCTTCTTTTTCAAGATTGTTTTGGCTCTTCAGGGCTCCTGCAATTCCATATGAATTTGAAGATTAATGTTACCATTCTGCAAAGAAGGCTGTTGGAATTTTGAGAGAGATTGCATTGAATCTGTAGGTCAGCTAGGGTACGACATCTTTAACAATATTAAGTCTTCTTCCCAAAAACGTGAAATGTCTTTCCATTTATTTAGGTCTTTTTAACTTTCTTTTAGTGATGTTCTGTAGGTTCCAAAAATATAAGTCCTTTCATCTCCTTGGTTAAATTTATTCCTAGGCATTTTACTCCTTTAGGTGCTGTTATAAATGGAATTGCTTCCTTAATTTCCTTTTTGGATAGTTCACTGCAGGTGTATAAAAACACACTTCTTTTTGTTTTTGTTTTTTTTTTAAAGATTTTATTTATTTATTTGAGAGAGAGAGAATGAGAGATAGAGAGCATGAGAGGGAAGAGGGTCAGAGGGAGAAGCAGACTCCCTGCTGAGCAGGGAGCCCGATGCGGGACTCGATCCCGGGACTCCAGGATCATGACCTGAGCTGAAGGCAGTCGCTTAACGACTGAGCCACCCAGGCGCCCCTCTTTTTGTTTTTTTTTTAAAGATTTTATTTTTTTATTTGAGAGAGAGAATGAGAGATAGAGAGCACGAGAGGGAAGAGGGTCAGAGGGAGAAGCAGACTCCCTGCCGAGCAGGGAGCCCGATGCGGGACTTGATCCCGGGACTCCAGGACCATGACCTGAGCTGAAGGCAGTCTCTTAACCAACTGAGCCACCCAGGCGCCCCCACACTTCTTTTTGGGTGCTGATCTTGTGCCCTTCAACTTAGCTAAATTCATTTACTAGCTCTAATAGCTTTCTTGTGGATTCTTTAGGATTTTATTTATAAGGTCATGTCCTATGTGAGTAGAGATCATCTTACTTCTTCTTTTCCAATTGGGATACCTTTTATTTCTTGTCTAATTGATTTGGCTAAAACTTCCAGTACAATGTTGGGTAGCAGAAGTGAAATCAGGCATGCTTGTTTTGTTCCCTATCTTGGGGGGAAAGCTTTCAGTCTTTCACCATTGAGTATGATGTTAGTTGTGGGCTTTTCATAGATTCTCTTTATTATGTTGAGGAAATTCCTTTCTATTCCTGGTTTTCTAGTGTTTTTTTAAATCATGAAAGATGGTAGATTTTGTCAAATGCCTTTTCTGCATCAATTGAGATAATTTGTGTGTGTGTGTGTGCGTGTGTGTTTCCTTCTTCTATTAATATGGTGTATCATGTTGGTTTTTCTTTTTCTTTTTTTAAAGATTTTATTTATTTATCTGAGAATGAGAGAGAGAACACGAGAGAGAGAGGGTCAGAAGCAGAAGCAGACTCCCTGCTGAGCAGGGAGCCCGATGCGGGACTTGATCCTGAGACTCCAGGATCATGACCTGAGCCGAAGGCAGTCGCCCAACCAACTGAGCCACCCAGGTGCCCCTCACATTGGTTTTTCTTAAATTGAATGCCTTGCATTCCTGGGATAAATTCCATTTGGTCATGATGTGTTATCCTTTTAATATGCTGTTGGGTTTAGTTTGCTAGTATTTTGTTAAGGATTTCTACATCAATATTCATAAGGGATATTGGTCTGTAATTTTCTTGTGATGTGTTTATCTAGCTTTGGCATCAGGGTAATGCTGCCCTCACTGAGGAGTTAGGAAGTGTTCCATCATCTTCAATGATTTGGAAGAGTTTGAGAAGGATTGGTATTAATTCTTCTTTAAGTATTTGGTAGAATTCACCAGCGACGCCATCTGGTCCTGGACTTTTCTTTGTTGGGATTTTGATTACTGATTCAATCTTTTTATTTGTTTTTTTTTTTAAGATTTTATTTATTTATTTGACAGAGAGAGACACAGCGAGAGAGAGAACACAAGCAGGGGGAGTGGGAGAGGGAGAAGCAGGCTTCCTGCCGAGCAGGGAGCCCGATGCGGGGCTCGATCCCACCTGGGATCATGACCTGAGCCAAAGGCAGACATTTAACAACTGAGCCACCCAGGCTCCCCATCAATCTCTTTATTTGTTATACCTCTGTTGAGATTTTCTGTTTCTTTTTGAGTCAGTTTAGGTAATTTGTGTTTCTAGGAATTTATCCATTTCATGTAAGTTATCTAATGTGCTGGCATACAAAGTTCATAATCTCTTAAATTTTATTCTGTAAGGTCAGTAGTAATGTCTCCACTTTACTTTCTTTCTGATTTTAGTTATTTATGTCTTCTCTCTTTTTTCCCATTTTTTCTTCTTTCTTTAATTAACATATAATGTATTATTTGTTTCAGGGGTATAGGTCTATGATTCATCAGTCTTTTTTTTTTAAGATTTTATTTGTTTGACACAGAGAGAGACAGCGAGAGAGGGAACACAAGCAGGGGGAGTGGGAGAGGGAGAAGCAGGCTTCCCACTGAGCAGAGAGCCCGATGTGGGGCTCGATCCCAGGACCCCAGGATCATGACCTGAGCTGAAGGCAGACACTTACAACTGAGCCACCCAGGCACCCCAAGTGATTCATCAGTCTTACACAACACCCAATGCTCACCACAACACATACCCTCCCCAATATCCATCACCCAGCCACCCCCATCCTCCCATCCCCCCCCGCCCAGCAACCCTCAGTTTGTTTCCTAAGATTAAGATTCTTGTATGGTTTGTCTCCCTCTCCGGTTTCATCCCATTTCATTTTTTCCTCTCTTCCCCTATGATCCTCTGCCTTGTTTCTTAAATTCTGCATATCATTGAGATCATATGATAATTGTCTTACTCTGATTGACTTATTTCGCTTAGCATAATACCCTCTAGTTCATCCACATCATTGCAAATGGCAGGATTTCATTTTTTTTATGGCTGTTGTAATATTGCATTGTATATATACACACACCACATCTTTATCCATTCATCTGTCGATGGACATCTGGGCTCTTTCCATAGTTCGGCTATTGTGGACATTGCTGCTATAAACATTGGGGTGCAGGTGCCCCTTCGGATCACTACATTTGTATCTTTGGGGTAAATACCTAGTAGTGCAATTGCTGGGTCGTAGGGTAGCTCTATTTTCAACTCTTTTTTTTTTTTTAAGATTTTATTTATTTGACAGAGAGAGACACAGCAAGAGAGGGAACACAAGCAGGGAGAGTGGGAGAGGGAGAAGCAGGCTTCCCGCGGAGCAGGGAGACCGAGGCGGGGCTTGATCCCAGGACACTGGGATCATGACCCGAGCCAAAGGCAGACGCTTAACGGCTGAGCCACCCAGGTGCCCCTATTTTCAACTTTTTGAGGAACCTCCATACTGTTCTCCAGAGTGGCTGCACTAGCTTGCATTTCCATCCTCTCTCTTTTTCTTTATCAGTCTAGCTAAAGATTCATCAGTTCGTTGATTTTTTTCAAAGAACCAACTTTTGTTTCATTGATTCTCTCTATTGTTTTTACATTCTCCATTTTATTTATCTCCAATAATCTTTATTATTTCCTTCCTTCTGTTAGCTTTGGGTTTGGTTTGCCCTTTTTTCCCTAGTTCCTTGAGGTATAAATTTAGGTGATTGGGTGATTTGACATCTTTCTTCTTTTTTTTTTTAAGATTTATTTATTTATTTATCAGAGAGAGAGAGAGAGAGAGAGAGAGAGAGCACAAGCAGGGGGAGCGGCAGAGGCAGAGGGAGAAGCAGGCTCCCCGCTGAACAGGGAGCCCGATGCAGGACTCAGTCCCAGGACCCTGAGATCATGACCTGAGCCGAAGGCAGATGCTTAACCGACTGAGCCACCCACACGTCCCCCCTATAATATTTTTAAACAGAGTTGAGGTCACATTGTATAACCAGGTTATATCCTCTTTTTTTAAATTTTAATTAATTAGAGTTTATTTTTTAGAGCAGTTTTTTTTTTAAGATTTTTTATTTATTTGACAGAGACACAGTGAGAGAGGGAACACAAGCAGGAGAGGGAGAAGCATTTTAGAGCAGTTCTAAGTTTACAGAAAATTGAGCAGATAGTATGGCAAGTCCCCATTTGCCCTGCATAGTTTGCCCTATTTTTAACATTTGCATTAGTGCAGTACATTTGTTGCAATTGATGAATCAACATTAATACATTATTCACTAGAATCTAGAGTTGAGCTTTGCGCGGTGGCAGTATCGTAGCCAATGAGGTTTATCCAAGGCGTAATTATTACCAATTGAAACTAAAACCCACAGTTGATATTAGGGTTCACTCTGTGCTGTACAGTTCTATAGGTTTTGACAAATGCATGATATCACGTAGCTACAGTTATGGTGTCATACAGTTTTACTGCTCTGAAAATCCCCTCTGCTCCACCTCTTTGTACCTTCACCCCAACCCCTGGCAACTGTGGATCTTTTTACTGTCCCTTTAGTTTTGCTTTTTCGAGGATGTCATATAGTTAGAATCATTCAATTTCTGGCCTTTCCGGATAGACTTCTTTCACTAAGCAAAATTATGGTTTGTGGCTTGATAGCTCACTTCTTTTTATTCCTGAATAATATTCCATTACATAAATGTACCACAATCTATCCATTCAGTTTCTGATGGGACATATTGGTTGCTTCCATTTTTTTGTGTGATTATGATTAAAATTTGTTTTCTTTTTTATTATAAATACAGCATTATCCCTCAGGTCTTTAAAACTCTTTGCTAATGTTGCTTATGATAACTGAATATACTTCCCATTGGCTGTTAAGTAAGAATGATTATTTTTGGATGGTAGAATATTGGATGATTTAAAACATTCCCTCTTTCTCATGCTTTGCATTTTTTTTTTTTAGATTTTATTTATTTATTTGAGAGAGAAAGAATGAGCAGGTGGAGTAGCAGAGGGAGAGGGACAAGCAGGTCCCCCCCCACCACCACTCAGCAGGGAGCCTGATGTGGGGCTCAGTCCCAGCACCCTGACATCATGACCTGAGCTGAAATTAGATGCTTAACCAACTGAGCCACCCGGGTGCCCCTCATGCTTTGCATTTTCTAAATTCACTGCAGTGAGTGTGCATTTCTTTTATGAATAGAAAAAACAATGTACTTTTTTTTTTTTTAAGTTTTTAATTTGCTCCAGTGCCTGGATAAGGGCTCCTCTCTTCAGTTCTGGTCACCTGAATATTTAGGAGTGGGGCCTGGAAATTTAAGAGCAAATGGTGTTACCAGTGGTCGGCTACCTCCCTCTCTAAGGTGGTCTGATTATGGCTTCCAAAACACATACTATTTTGAGGGACATCAGGCTTCTTAGATTTGCAGAAGGTCCTGGGTCATTTCCAGTTTTTGAGGTCCCAGCATGATTTAAAAAATGTGGTATGTTAAAACAAAGTTATAAAAACTCCGGTTTATTGACAGTTGGATAATGAACACGTTGTATTTCTGTGACTCTATATAGGACCCCTTTTGGAGGTAATGCAATGTTCACTATTGAAGTCTGGGCCCTGCCTGCCTCTGATGAGTGCCACCAGATCTGGAAGTTGTTGTCAGAATGTTGGCTGCAGAACTTCCACTCCCAGCCAGGCAGCTGAGCAGATCAAGGTCTTTAAGTGGGGTTATTTAGCACCCTCTAATCTGAGTGTCGCTTTAAACGGGCAGGATGTCAGGGGGCCTGGCTGGCTCAGTCGGAAGAGGATGCGACTCCTAATCTCAGGGTTATGAGTTTGAACCTCATGTTGGGTGTAGAGATTACTTAAATAATAAGGCCTTTTTTTTTTTAAAGATTTTATTTATTTATTTGACATAGCGAGAGAGAGCACAAGCAGGAAGAGCAGGAGAGGGAGAAGCAGGCTCCCTGCTGAGCAAGGAGCCCAATGCGGGACTTGATCCCAGGACCCTGGGGTCATGACCTGAGCCGAAGGCAGCCGCTTAACTGACTGAGCCACCCAGGCATCCCCAAAATAAAATTTTTAAAAAGTAAAAACTAAATCTGGAGGATGTCAATAATCAAATAAAAGGAGCTTGTTTCTGTGCATCACTTTAAAATTTCCAACATCTGGGGCGCCTGGGTGGCTTAGTGGGTTGAGCATCTATCTGCCTTGGTCCTGTGATCGAGCCCCACATTGAGCTCCACACTCAGTGGGGAGTCTGCTTGGGATTCTCTCTCTCCCTCTGACCCTTCCCCTGCTCACGCTCTCTCTCATTTTCTCTCTCTCACAAATAAATAGATAAAATCTTAAAAAAAAAAATAAAGTCTCCAAGATCCCTGCACAGTGAACCGGTAGAGTGTCTGCATTGTTGAAGAGGAGAAAGAGGGAGGGTCACTTTCAATTTGAAAGGAGTGGTGAGGACACAGGATGACTCTGATGAGAGTGGATCTTCAACCTCTCCAGTTGAATGCCGTCCACTGCCCCACTCACCTTACCAGCTGCACCCACCCTGCCAGGCTCTCAGCATCTCTGCTCTGACCTCTGTTCAGAATGATGAGCCTGCACGTCCCTTTAGGCTTCACTCTCACACCGTGCCTGGGGACGGGCTCTGGTTCCCTGTTATGGCCACTGGACAAGCAGTAGGCATGCAAAAGGTCTGGGCCATCTACCTCCTTGTCCTCTGGACATTTTTGTCACTCTGTTGCCTGCTTCCTTTGTGCAGTGTTTTTTTTTTTTTTTTTTTTTTAAGATTTTATTTATTTATTTGAGAGAGAGAGAATGAGAACAAGAGGGAGGGATGGGCAGAGGGAGAGGGAGAAGCAGACTCCCCACCGAGCAGGGAGCCTGATGTGGGACTCGATCCCGGGACTCCAGGATCATGACCTGAGCCAAAGGCAGCTGCTTAACCAACTGAGCCACCCAGGCGTCCTGTGCAGTGTTTACAGCTCCCTCTGTCTAGAACTGGGTCCTGGGTCCAGCTTTGGGTTCTGCTTTGTTCTTTTAAAGGCAGCGGCACAGAAGAGCATCCCAGAAGTTGGGCGTGAGCTGGCGGAGTTGGTGGAACAGCTCGTAGACATTGTCAGGAGTCTTCAGAGTCAGAGGCACCTTCCCGAATCCGGTCCAGACAATGAAGGGAGCACCCCGAGCATGAGCGTGGTAGGCTCAGCCTGGAGGGGAAAGCGTGTGCTGGGGGGGGTGCTAGGGACAGCTTCCAGCTGGAGCCACGGGAATATGTTGGGAGTTGAAGGATGCAATAAGTCTTCATCTTTTGCCATTTTCTTACTGTCACACATGGATGACCAGAAGTGTGCAATGCTTGAGGTGAGGTAGGGGGGCTTCAGGTGGGCTAGATTCCATCCTTACCTCTGCACCTAACCAGCTCTGAGATCTCCAGGGACCTCTATGCAAATCCTGCAGACAGTCTAGTCCCCATCTTCATTGACCTTTCAGCAGCCTTTGACCACACCTTCATTCCTGAAGCTTTCTTTTCCCTTAGCTTCTGGGACAGGGGTCTTCTGACCTTCCCCTGTTTCTCTATGGCTGCTCCTTCCCCAGCTGTCTTGCAGGCTCACTCTCTTTTCCTCTCCTCAGCAACGAAATGCCCAAATTCCTCAAGGCTGAGGGGTACATCCCTTTTTCTTCCCCACTGAGTGGTCTTCCCCACACCACGGCTTTAATTACCACCCTATGCACAAACATAGCTCCAGCCTGGACCCCTCTCTGAGCTGTGGTCTGCTATCTTCCTTCTCACCTTTTCCTCCGTGTATCTCAAAGGCACATCCCATTTAGAATGTCCCAAACTGTTTCTCCTCTGGGAGTCCCCATCTCGGTGACTGGCCCTATGATCCTTCTAAGGGCACAAGCCAGGAACCTGGGAATCATGTCACCCCTCCCTCACCGGCCTAAACATCCCCAGAGCCTATTTACTACTCTTCAGTTCCTTGGAGACGTCTCTGATCATTTCTTTTCTTTTTTTTTTTAAAGATTTTATCTGGGGCGCCTGTGTGGCTCAGTCGTTAAGCGTCTGCCTTCGGCTCAGATCATGAACCCAGGGTCCTGGGATCGAGCCCCGCATCGGGTTCCCTGCTCAGTGGGAAGCCTGCTTCTCCCTCTCCCACCCCCCCTGCTTGTGTTCCCTCTCTTGCTGTCTCTCTCTGTCAAATAAATAAATAAAATCTTTTTTTTTATTTATTTGAGAGAGAGAGTGAATGGGAGAGAGAGCACAAGCTGGGGGTGGGAGGTGGCAGAGGGAGAAGCAGACTCCCCACTGAGCAGGGAGCCCAATGTGGGGCTCCATCCCAGGACCCTGAGATCATGACCTGAGGCAAAGGCAGACACTTCAGCGACTGAGCCACACAGGCGCCCCAAGCCTCTGATCACTTCTTGCCTGGACTGCTGCAATAATTATTTACCCCACTCTATTCCTGCTGGTCTGCTCTGCTCGTGGTTGTCAGAGTGACCCTCTCAAACACAAATCTGATTTACAACATCTCCAGTGACATCTGCTTGTGTGGGATTAAGACCCAAATCCTGGCTGTCCTCACAGAACGAACAGGGCCCTGCAGGACTCCTTCCCTGTCTCCCTGTCCTGTCTCCTTCCAGCGGGCTCCCCTCCCCCAGTACTCCCCGGGCTCTTCAAGCTTCAGCCACTCTGGCCCCTATCAGTCCCCCAGGGTGTCATACTTCTTCCCACCACAGGGTTTGCACTCCGTGGAATGTTCTTTCGCCCTGCCACCTAGATAACACCTCTCATCCTTCAGACCCTGGCTAGATCATCACTTTCCTGGAGAAACCTTCACAGATTTCCTTGAACAAGTCTCCCTGTTAGAGGCTTTTACGATTTCATTTGCAGCAGTTACCACAAGTTGCATCTTGATAATGACGGGTGCCATAATTTATTCATGTCTGTTTTCCCTACTCCCCTGCCCTGGACTCTAAGCTTCATTAGGGTAGAGACCCTGATGGCTTTTGTTCACCCTTGTATCCCCAAGCTTAGCAAGGTGCTTGCCGCATGGTAAGTGCTCAGCAAATACTTGGGGGTCTTCAGGGCTGCAAGGTGTTGGGGGGAGGAAAGCCTGAGAGTCTGACTTTCACACTTGACATTGCATTGGTTTGATGTAAGGACTAAAGAAGCTCTGGTCTAAATAAGTGCTCGAGGGGTGCCTGGGTGGCTTAGTCGGTTGGGCGTCTGCCTTTGGCTCGGGTCGTGATCCCAGGGTGCTGGGATCGAGTCCTGTGTTGGGCTCCTTGCTTGGCGGGGAGCCTGCTTCTCCCTCTCCCTCTGCCCCTCCCCACCATTGTGCTCTCTCTCTCTCTTTCAAATAAATAAATAAAATCTTCAAAAAAAATTCTTTTAAATTAAAAAAAAAATAAGTGCTCAAGTGGTGGGAAAATGCAGGACGATAAAATTCACTGTGGTGATTTAGTTCACCTCTGTGAGCTATAACTTGTTTTGTAAAAGGGGGATAACCAACCTACCTTGGAAGGTTGTTACACAAATTGGAAGTAAGCCACGTGAAGTGCTCAGTCCGTGGTGCCTGCTACTTTACAGTTGGTAAGAAGAGTGGAAAATAAGAGTATGCAAAGTTGGGAAGGAACATCAGAGGCCAAAGGTGGCAAGGTGGGAGCAGATGAGAGGCTGTGTTGGGGAATTACAGGACCCAAGGTTAAAGAAAGTCAGGGAGCATGTGTTGGTGGCCCCAGAGAGCTGGGAGGGCCTGGATGCCCAGCCACATGTCTACCCTGGTTCTTGAGAGGAGAGGTGATAGAATGATAGCCTTCCGGGGAAGATTATTATGGCCTCTGTGGCTGATCTTGGTGACTATCTGTATCATTTATTTTGTAAAGCCCCTAGAGGATGGGCTTACAAATTTTACTACTTTTTGGGTATTACCTAAGAAATCCACATTTATTGTACATAATACTAGAAAATGCATAGCAGGTTTAAAAAAAATTTTTTTTTTAAGATTATTTATTTGACAGAAAGAGATATAGCGAGAAAGGGAACACAAGCAGGGGGAGTGGGAGAGGGAGAAGCAGGCTTCCCGCCGAGCAGGGAGCCCGATGCGGGACTTGATCCGAGGACCCTGAGATCATGACCCGAGCTGAAGGCAGACACTTCGCAGCTGAGCCATCCAGGTGCCCTGAAAATGCATAGCAGTTTAAAGAAAACAAAGGAACATTGTCTGTAACCCTACCACCCAGAAATAACCACCCTTTAATATTTTTGCTGCACTGTGTGTTCTTCCAAATTGCTTTCAAGGCATGTAGTTTGAGGACCTAATTATGTTTTCAAAAATCTGTGAGGAGGCAAGTAGAAAATGATAGATGACAGAATTAGAATATACTATTTGCTGCACACCTTAGGAAACTTCACTTATTTAATTTGTTTTTGATGATCCATCAATAGTCTTCTTCTGGTGGGGTGGACCTTTCCTTGGCTTCTTCAAAGCCAGTGACTTCCAACACACCCGAGAGAAAAATGAGAGACATTCTGCATGACCTAGAAGAAATCCAGAAGAAATTACAGGAAAACTTCACGTGGAAGGAGGCCTTTGAAGAACAGCCGCAGGGTGAGTTGATTTTATTGGGTGAAAGAGGATTAAATATGGAAGTTGGGGGAAATGACAAAAACAGTGACAAATAGCTTTGTTTTTTGGGGATAGGATCCCAGAGCCCAGCTGTGTTATCCCTGTGCTGTTGTAAATGAGGAAGGGGTGGGCGGAGGTGTTTTTGTGGCTGGATATGTGTTTTGGATATGGCTGGAGGTATGATGTCACCTAGGCCTTTAAAAGATAGAAAGTCATTTTCTAAGACCTTTACATCCAGAACCTAGACCTGATTTTGCTGCTTGCCTGTGTTATCCACCTGAGGAGATTCAGAAACAGGCTGCTTTTTATGTTTATTAAATGTCTTTGTTAACAAAGCATGCGACTTTGTAAATTGTCCTTGATAAGTTTAATTAAAATATCATCTCTGGTGAGTATGCTAATAGTAAACAATAACAATGCAGAAAAGAACCTCTCTGTCCTGACTTTGGAGGTTCTCCATTGGAACCCTTGTCACCACTGAAGAACAATTGACACCTGCCTCTTAGAAGTGAGCTCTGGGCTCCCTCTGTTCTGCCTCCTGCTCTTACCACTGCCAACTTTATATACGTTAGAGACATATCTCTTATAACTTTTTATGTTTAAATGATCTTGCTCAGGGCGCCTGGGTGGCTCAGTCATTAAGCGTCTGCCTTCAGCTCAGGTCATGATCCCGGGGTCCTGGGATCGAGCCCCGAGCCCCGCATCGGGCTCCCTGCTCGGCGGGAGGCCTGCTTCTCCCTCCCCCACTCCCTCTGCTTGTGTTCCCTCTCTCGCTGTCTCTCTCTCTCTGTCAAATAAATAAGTAAAATCTTTAAAAATAAGTAAATAAATAAATGATCTTGCTCTGCTTAAAAAGTTATTTTTTATTTAGGTGGAGAAACCTGATCCCTTGGGAAAAACTCAAGGAAACAAGTTAGAGCACACTTTATCAGTTGTTCCAAAAACTGAGAAATAAGTGCCTTCTTAGCTCCTGTGTCCCACTAAATTTAGATTGGGTTCCTTAATGATCTTATTTACTTAAACAAATTCAAAATCGGGCGCCTGGGTGGCTCAGTTGGTTGAGCGACTGCCTTCGGCTCAGGTCATGATCCTGGAGTCTCGGGATCGAGTCCCACATCGGGCTCCCTGCTCAGCAGGGAGTCTGCTTCTCCCTCTGACCCTCTTCCCTCTCGTGCTTTCTATCTCTCATTCTCTCTCTATGCATAGCAGGTTTAAAAAAAATTTTTTTTTTAAGATTATTTATTTGACAGAGAGAGACACAGCCAGAGAGGGAACACAAGCAGGGGGAGTGGGAGAGGGAGAAGCAGGGAGCCCGATGCGGGGCTCGATCCCAGGACCCCGGGATCATGACCTGAGCCGAAGGCAGATGCTTAACAATGAGCCACCCGGGTGCCCCTAAAATTTGAAATTCAGGGGTGCCTGGGTGGCTCAGGCAGTTGGCGTCTGCCTTTGGCTCAGGTCGTGATCCCTGGGTCCTGGGATCGAGCCCCGAGTCAGGCTCCCTGAGAAGCAGGGAGTCTGCTTCTCCCTCTCCTCCCCACTCATGCTCTCTGTCACTATTTCTCTCTCTCTCTCTCTCAAATAAATAAATAAAATCTTAAAAAAAAATAAATGCGAAAAGCTTGTGAGAAATTAAAAAAATTAAAATTTTAAATTCAGAAATCAAAACAGTATAAAAGCGTACAGTGAAGGTCTCTTTCTCACCCTCATTCAATTTTCCTATTGCCCTGCCTCCGTTAACCGCTTGTATTAGTTTCTTAAGTGCCCATTCAGAATTTACTTATGCAAGTAACAGTTTAAGGCACTGATGGGGGGAGTGTCATGGATATTTTGGGTGTTGGGGTGCTGTGATCTCCTAGACCTATAATTTATTTGTTAGATATGTACATAACACTTACTTCCTATATAGCTGGTACTACGCTTGGTGCTTAGAACATAAAGATGAACAAGGTCTCTACCAGCAAGGAGCTTAGAGCTTACGGGTGGTGGGGGGGGAACACGCAGTAAAAAAAAGTCCATGGTGAGAACATGGGGCTGCACATACTTGAGTTGGATGTTCTGCCTGATCCAAGTCTGACACTAAAAAAATGTGTGAGGAAATGTGATGAAGCAGACAAGCCGTGTGCCCTGATCACGATGTTTGGATACCTTGTATTTGCCTTTTATTTGTTTATTTGTTTATTTATTTATTTTTGATGACACCTTTTCCCCTTCCCGATTTTCTGAAATCCTTAGCAGAAGTCCAGGAAGCTCCCCATTCCTCTTCATGTCCGCTGCCTGACCAGAGCCACCCAGCCCCCAAGAGCGCCTCCCGGTTTGCTCGGTTTGCTCGGTGTAAGTATGCGGGCGGCTGAACACTTGGATTTGGCCAGCCGGGTCCGCCTTTCTGATGCTGCTGGGTCTCTCCTTGGCTCACAAGGGGATCTGATTACAAAGACAAATGGGATTGAAGACTCCCAAATTCCAGGCTATGCTGAGTGGGATTCAGAGACAGCTACCTGAAAGAGGCCCAATGGGGAAGTAAAAATTAAGATGGAAAAAGGGTATTGTGATTAGAACAATACTAGGGATGTGTGTACAGAAAACTGCAAGTTGATGTACCTGTTTTGGTTTTTTTTTAAAGATTTTATTTATGTATTTGAGAGAGAGAATGAGAGATAGAGAGCACGAGAGGGAAGCGGGTCAGAGGGAGAAGCAGACTCCCTGCTGAGCAGGGAGCCCGATGTGGGACTCGATCCCGGGACTCCAGGATCATGACCTGAGCCGAAGGCAGTCGCTTAACCAACTGAGCCACCCAGGCGCCCTGATGTACCTGTTTTAATGCCAGTATGAATAAAACTTTATCACACCCAAAGGTACGAAGCCGCTTTTTGTAGGGCGCCTGGGTGGCTCAGTCAGTTAAGTGTCTACCTTCCGCTTGGGTCATGATCCCAGGGTCCTGAGCATCGGGTTACCTGCCCAGCAGGGAGTCTGCTTCCCTTCTCCCTCTACCCCTCCCCCTGCCCCCCTTCATGCTCTCGCTCTTGCTCGCTCTCTCAAATAAATAAATAAAATCTTTAAAAACAAAAACATCCCAAAGCTGCTTTTTGCTATTAGAGCAAGCCAGTCATATCCTTGCTCTTTTCCTCAGGGGCCATCAGTCCGACCTTCGACCTTCGCAGCCACTCCTGTAGCCTGGAGGTGTCCAAGGATGGCCGGGCAGTGACTGTGTCTCGCCATCCACAGACCCATCTCGGGGGTCATGAGAGGTTTGTGACCTGCCAGGCCTTATGTTCCCAGGCCTTTTCTTCTGGGCAGCAGTACTGGGAAGTGGACACTCAGCATTGCAGCCACTGGGCAGTTGGGGTGGCTTCCTGGGGGATGAAGCGGACCCAGATCCTGGGAAGGACCCGGGACTCCTACTGTGTAGAGTGGAAGGGGACTAGCCAACTCTCTGCATGGCACATGGTCAAGGAGACTGTCCTTGGCTCTGACAGACCGAAGGTGGTGGGCATCTGGCTGGACCTGCAGGAGGGGAACCTTGCCTTCTATTCAGTGGCTGATCAGGAGATGCTTCTGTATGAGTGCCGAGTCTCAGCCTCCTCTCCTCTGCACCCTGCCTTCTGGCTCTATGGCTTAAATCCTGGAAACTCTCTGACTATAAGGCCGGTAAGGGTGTAAAGTTTCCCTGAGTGTCAGAACCTAGTGGTTTCCTGTCCTTTCCCTCTGCTTTCAAGCCAGTGGTACCTCGACAAGAGTCCCACTTCCAGAGTTAATGGGTGCGCCGTAAAGGGCTAACTGCAGGCTTCGGATGGGCAGACTGCACATTCCCAAGAGAGCGTGGGTCCTTGACTAGTTCTTGGGAGGCAACCCCTAATCCCTTGGGGTATCCTGCCTGATAAGAGTGTTTATTTACCAGAGGGTCTTGGGCCAGGGGGTATCAGCTTGACCTCTGGAGGGACTGGAGACTAAGGCCTGCCCATGTGGCCGACCCCCAGGAAAAGCCTGGGCACCAGACCTTGGGGGAGCTTCCCTGGTTGGCAGTCTCCTTGTACATTGTCACACATTGTCGCTAGGAGAATTAATACTGTTCTTGTGACTCCATGGGGAAGGAGAGTTGGTGTCTCTTTGGCCTGTGTCCCATGTGCCTTTTTCTCCTACAGATTTTAATCTGTATCGTTTCACTGTAATAAATTGTAACCAAGACTACAATCACTTTGTTGAGTTCTCTGGGTCCTTTTAGTGAATCACTGAACCTGGGAGTGGTTTTAGGGACCCTCCCCCCCCAACACGGGGGCAGGTTATCCATTGCTGTGGAATAATACTACCACGAATGCAGTGGTCTCAAACAGCACTCGGTTATTAGCTCAGTTTCTGTGCACCAGGCGTTAGGGCACAGTTCGACGACTAGCCTCACCAGCTGTAGTCAAAGGGTGACCTGGGGCCATGGTGGCATCTGAAGCTCACCTGGGCAAGGATCTTCCAAACTCACATGGTTGTTGGCGGCATTCAGTTCCCCATGGGTTGTCAGACGGAGGGCCTCGGTTTCGTGCTGGCTATTGTCTGCGGGCCACCCTCGGTTCCTTACCCCATGGGCCTCTGGAACATAGCTGCTTACTTCCTCAAAGCCAACGAGGAAGAGGCAGTTTCCTAGCCAAGTGGACATTAGATCTTATATGATGTAATCACACAAACATAATCACATACATCCTGTGGCCTTTGCCTTATTCTATTGGTTAGAAACATGCCACAGGTCCTGCTCACGCTTACTGCATGGGAAGGGATTAGGGAAGAGCAGGAATACCAGGAGGTGGCGGGGTATGGGGGCCCCTTACAGTCTGGCCAGCACTGGGTGTCATTTCATACTCAATTTCCCCTGGTTTTAAAAACCATTTTATTACATGACAGAACAGATACAGAAAACTCCATAAAACATATGTGGAATATAAATAATGAATTATTATAGAGTAAACACCCTTATTAACTACCTTTGGGTCAAGAAATAAAACCTTCCTACCCCCCCCAGAAGTTCCTTCATGTGCCTTGTCTCAATCACACGACCCTGCTTCTACCTGAAAGGAATCTGACTTTTACAGTAATCACTTCCTTGAATCTCTTTAGAGTTTTAGCACCCAAATATGCACCCCTAGCCACAAGTCTTACCCATGTAAAAAAAAAAAAAAAAAAAAGGATATGTCTTTTTCTTAACTGCTTTGTTGAGATATAATGTACATACTATAAAATTCACCTATTTAAGGTGTACGGATCGGGGAACGCCTGGGAGGCTTAGTTGGTTGAGCAAGCGACTCTTGATTTCAGCTCAGGTCATGATCCCAGGGTCCTGGGATCGAGCCCCGCTTCAGGCTGTCTGCCAGCAGGGAGCCTGCTTCTCCCTCTGCCTCTGCCTGCCATTCCCCCTGCTTGTGTGCTCTCTCTCTCTCTCTCTCAAATAAATAAATAAATGATCTTTTAAAAAATAATCTTTATAAATAAATAAATAAATAAAGTAAGTGTACAGATTGGGGCACCTGGCTGACTCAGTCAGTAGAGTGCGCGACTCTTGATCTCAGGGTCGTGAGTTCAAGCCCCACGGTGGGTGTAGAGATTACTTAAATCAATCTTTAAAAACATAAAAACTGAAGTGTACAAAACAATGTTTAGTATGGAGTTGTGAAACCCTCACTGTATTCTAATTTTAGAACATTTTCATCACCCCCAGAAAGAACCCTCACACCCATTAGCTGTCAATGTGTCTTGTAGGTCTCCTAATCTACACATCTCCCTCTCCCTCTCCTCTGCTTGCAATTCATCCATAGGACCCCAGGCTGGATTGGCACCTGTTTTGAAGACGTGGAAATTCACATTTGGGCTGTGGGGGTGGGTTGAGCAGAAAGCGTTGCGGCACAAACCAGCCAGACAACCCTTGGCAGTACATTTACCTCTTTGCCCTCATTTCCCTTGTAAGATGGAAATAATTATTATTTGCCCTTCCTTTTTTTTTTTAACTTTTTTTTAAAGATTTTATTTATTTGAGAGAGAGAGAGAGAGAGAGCACATGAGTGGGGGGAGGGTCAGAAGGAGAAGCAGACTCCCTGCCGAGCAGGGAGCCCGATGCAGGACTCGATCCCGGGACTCCAGGATCATGACCTGAGCCAAAGGCAGTCGCTTAAGCAACTGAGCCACCCAGGTGCCCCTTATTTACCCTTCCTTACCTTCCTCAAAGGGTTGCTGAAAGAATTAAAGTAATAGGTAAGGGAACTGGGAAAATGCCAGGACAATTGTAACCACAGCGTTGACAGAGTTATGTCAGCCTCCAGTGCACCTTGGCCTCTAACATCTTGAGACTCACATCTAATTTACAGACATGTCCTCAAAAACAGGGCCAAGCCAAATTCTTCCACATGTTCTATTAATTTGCTCTCTAGCCTCACGACCACGTACATGATGTAACACACCAGGAAGCGGGGGTCCAGACGGGGTTAGCGGTTTGTCCAGGGCTGGTCAGCTGGCAGAGCAGGGACCAGGCCCACTTTCCCCCACCCCCTCAAGTCTCTAACCTTAATACCCCTCTGATAAGGTCCTGTGCTGAGCCAGGACCTGGCCTTCCACTCTGATGGGACACAGCTATCCCTAGAACCACGAGGTACTGTTTTTTTCTGCCTGGTGGTGGTGGCGGTCCTCGGTTAGTAGAGTGGTCTTTGGGTTGTCTGAGTAAGGACAAGACCTCTCTCTTTGTGCCAGTTGACCGTTAAAGGGCTCTCGGTTCTCACTTCCTGCATCGTGGAGCTTTTATCTTCTCACCCAGGGTCACCTTGATGTTTGCCCTTTAAAAGTACTAAGACTGAGAATTCAGAGGCCAGGGTTTTTAGCGTCTTGCGGTGCTTTGGTTAAATACCATTCCATCTGGTGGTTTGGATAATGGGGCCTCTTTGAGCACGGAGTTTGTTGCCTGGTCACATGATTTCCCCAAACTAGAGCGGAAGCATAAGAATCAGAAAGGTAGAGAATGAAGGTTAGCCCTCTGCTTCTTTGCTTTTGTCTTGAGTTTTTGGTCAGCAATCAGCTTTCTGGGACACTGTGAAAAGTGGTACCCTTCCTCAAACAGAACAAAACAAAAATCCTCCAGAATAGAAATAGAAATAACGAAGCTGAGGGGTGCCTGGGTGGCTCAGTTGTTAAGCGTCTGCCTTCAGCTCAGGTCATGGTCTGGGGGTCCTGGGATTGAGCCCCGCATCGGGCTTGCTGCTCAGCGGGGAGCCTGCTTCTCCCTCTCCCACTCCCCCTGCTTGTGTTCCCTCTCTCGCTGTGTCTCTCTCTGTCAAATAAATAAATAAAATAATCTTAAAAAAAAAAGAAGAAAGAACTAATGAAGCTGGAATGCCAGTGGGTGAAAGACCTCTCACTTGGATCTATACTATGTGGGGGAAGGAATCATCCACACACGGATCAGGCTGGAAAGACGTCCCATGGAGAGGCAAAAGCTCATGGGGAGAGCACTGAGGACCCCTGGGGCAGCTTCTCACCTCCTCTGCCGACGTTCCTCTCAAAAACCCTTGTTTTCTTGGAGGCTTGTCTCTGTGAAGTGCTTTTTTTCTGGGGGTCAGGGAGAAGGGAGTAATGTCAGTGACAACAGCCACCTCTGTCTATCTCTTCCTCTCTCTTCCCCTCTGCCTCACACACTCTTCACCCGCTGGGGAGGAGGCACCTACTGGAAGGCATGGCTGTTCCCATTACTGGGGTCCAGGGCTTTAGGTTCCTAGAAGAACCACTTACCCACCGGGAAGCCACCACCTTCTTAGACTCACAGCAATCTCTCATACAATTATATCCATCTGTCCCTTACTTTTCCTCCCTCGAATACATTTTTTTCTGGAAAAGTTTAATTTGAAGACTTTATTTCCTAGCTGATTGCAGAAACAAGCGGCAAAATGCAACAATGCTGCTCTTTGGAGGTACCTCAGGTAACTTTTTCTGTGGTTGAAGGAAAAATCCCTTCCCCAGGGGCACTTGGGGCTTTTGACAGGAAGGGAGAATTTTCCTTCCTATATGCTCAGCTTCATCATTCCCCACTCCTGCCTAAGCCCTCAGCCCCAAACCTACACTATTCAAACCCAAATTCACCCTCATTCATAATTGCTCAAAACCATAATCACCGCAAGGGGCGCCTGCCTGGCTCTGTCAGTGGAGCATGCGACTCTCGATTTTGGGTTTGTGTGTTCGAGCCCCATGTTGGGTGTAGAGATTACTTAAAAATAAAATATTTTTTACGGGGCGCCTGGGTGGCTCAGTCGGTTGGGCGTCTGCCTTCGGCTCCGGTCATGATCTCAGTATCTTGGGATCCCGTCCCGCGTCGGGCTCTCTGCTCCACAGTGAGCCTCTTTCTCCCTCTCCCCCTGCTCTTCTCTCTCTCTCTCTCTGTCAAATAAATAAATAAAATATTTAATAAATAAATATTAAAAAAAACAACAACAACCCAAACCCTAGTCACTGCATGATTTTGTGTCCTTCCAGAGGAGTGCAGTCTTCTTTAATTATAATTAAAGATTTGTTCTGATTTGGGGTTTACTTTACTAACCAGCCATAGGCTTTCTCAGGACACTGTTTCCCAAGCTTCAGTCTTTTATGTGCCATGATTCTTGTCACACTTGCATATCCCCTGCACCATTTTTTACTTAATATTTTTTCCTAAACCAACTCACTAACCCCCCTCAGGTACATTTATTTCAAAAGGAAAACTTTAAAAAAAATTATGTAGATGGGAATCAGAATGCTGTGTCTTAAAGGAGTAACCCTAAATATATGTTTCACGGAAAACAAAAACAATGGGAGTGGCTTGGTTCTGTCCTATAAGGCTCTGAACCCGAGGCTTGCTCTGGAGCTGGCTTTCATGCATTCTCTCTCTCTCTCTCTCTCTCTCTCTCGTGCATGCGCTCACAAGTGGAGATTATCAGGTATTATAGATTTACTGAGGCTTTCACCTTGACTTAATTAGGACAGAA